CCCCCCGCCAAAAAAAAAAAGAACTTTAAGTAAGGTGTTGTATTTCTCTCTCTCTCTCTCTTTTTGCCAGTCCTGGGGCTTAAACTCATAACATGGACTCTGTCCCTGAGCCTCTCTGTGCTCAAGGCTAGCACTTTGCCACTTGAGCCACAGCACCACTTTTGGCTTTTTCTGTTTATGTGGTAATGAGGAATCAAACCCAGAGCTTCATGCATGCTAGGCAAATACTCTACCACGAAGCCACGTTCCCAGCCTGTGTTGTCTTTCTTATCACAAAACCTGAATTAAAGAATTTAAAAAGGATTTTAGGATTCACCTTTGATATAATTGTTTAAATGCTAAGGGTTGAAAACCAGCTCCATGGTAATTAACTGGTGGTGTTCCTAAAGTTGGACTCATAAACTATAAAGTACCCAGTGGCTTTTCACCCATCAGAAGTCTCAGTGACTTTTCCCATACTGTAAACCTCTTACCAGAGTGGGTGTCTCAGCTTAGCTGTCTGAAAACTCAGCTTTAAGAGACCCACAGGACCACTTCTGCTATCCAGTTAGCAGTCACAACAAATGTTTGAACTAAAGACCATCTTAAATGTACATAATTTTGATTCATATACTAAGTAATCTTCATTGTCAGACTTAAAAAATTTTTTGTCCAAGTCAGGTGCTGGTGACTCATATCTATAATCCTAGCTACTCGGGAAGCTGACATCTGATTATTCCAGTTCAAAGCCAGCCTGGGCAGAAAATATCTGTGAGACTCTTGGATCTCCAATTAACCAACAAAAAGCTAGAAGTGGAGCTGTGGTTCAAGTGATAGAGTGCTAGCCTTGAGCAAAAAAGCTAAGGGAAGGGGCTGGGAAGGTGGCTCAGTGGTAGAGTGCTTGCCTTGCAAGCATGAGGCCCTGGGTTCTATTCCTCAGCACCACATAAGCAGAAAAAGCCGGAAGTGATGCTGTGGCTCAAGTGGTAGAGTGCTAGCCTTGAGTTCAGGCCCCACGATTGACACCCCACCCCCATCCCCCAAAAAAAACAACCTAAGGGAAGCTCAATTCTTAGCTCACATCTATAATCCTAACTACTCAGGAGGCAGAGATCTGAGGATCACGGTTCAAAGCCAGCCGGGCAAGGAAAGTCTGTGAGACTCTTTATTTTCAATAAACCACCAGAAAACCAGAAGTGGCACTGTGGCTCAAGTGGTACAGTGCTCGCCTTGAGCTGAAGAGCTGAGGAACAGCGCTCAGGCCCAGAGTTCAAGCCCGATGACCAACAAAAAGGAAAAAAAAAAAAAGGTAAGCGACAATGCCCAGGCCCTGAGTTTAAGCCCCAGAACCAGCATACAAAAAGATAAATAAGTAAATAAAGATAAAATAAAAATTGAAGAGAAAGCCAAATAAAATTGGAAATGATTATGTAAAATTTAAATCAGAAAATTCAAACTAAGTCCATTCAAAAGTGTACACATACAGACATGCACACACTTGATTACACACATCCATTCAGATAAGCCCACACCTGGGCTCTCATCTCAAAGCCAGTCAGGCCTTGCTTTCTAGGTCCTGTCTCCTAACAAGAGGGATGGTCTTGTCTAGCTCAATCAAGGTCAGTCCATGTCCCAGCTGTGCCATCAAAGGGGCAATCTTCATACTCATGGGTGCTGGGGGATGAGATGAAACTGGCAGGGCCAATTTGGCATCATCTGAACTTCTGGAAGAGCCATGGTGGAATTAGCCTGCTACTCACTGAGCATGTATTTTATATACAATGCCTATGAGTAAGTAGGGCAGCCAGTTACCACCAAATGCCCTTCTGCAGTGTCTCATATGCTCATCAACACAGGTGGACTAACTACCTGGTGATGAGCTCTGATGACACAATCAGGTAAGAGGGCAGAGGTCTATTTATTGTAACAGAAGGCTCTGGCCAACCTATCCCACTGTATCACCCCCATGACAAATGGACATCCTAGCCCCTAGGAAACAAGGCACTGAAGTATTTTTGGTTAGACGTCCTTTACTTCACAGTCAAGTCTCCACGAAAGCCCAGGGAGCTCACATTAGGATACCATAGCTGCATCCTTCAAGGCAGGCAAACCTGGAACCTCTGGGTAATGGGGAGCCTCTGGGAGTCTGGGGAAATATAATGGTCCTTTCAAGGAAGACACAACCCGCCCATATGTCCCTGGAGAAGAACTATGGCAACTGAGGCAGGGTCCTGCAAACATGCCACCGGGATCTTTGGAGAGGAGCAGACCAGGCCTGCAAACCACAATGGGCTTACTCTATACAGCTGAAGGAGACCTGGCTCAGGGTTCACAGAGTTCCACCTAAGACACTGACCCACAGCCTGGCCTCTGGGTCAAGCAGGCTGGAATCATGAGGGGTGGGTGGAGAGTAATATGTTACCTTCCTTCATGTTTGCAAATCGCTCCTTCAGCTGGTGATCCACCTCAGGACCAAAGGCAAAGTTATTCACAAATATAACACTGCAAAACAATGTTCCAGTTGAGTAAAACCAAGGCTCCATTTCATGTGCATGTAGAGTCCCAGTGCAATGCCACCTGCCCACCCCAAATGCTAAGGATTAATGTACCAGATGCCACCTGGGGTCTCGAAGTATGGACAGAAGTTAATATCTTCTCTTTACAATATGCCAGAAAACTGTGAACTGATTTTCACAGTGGGGTGCCTATTGTGAATCTTGATAATTTTTAATTGAAATTTTAAAAAAATGTTTGAGAATACACATGAAGGGGTTAATTGGAAAGGTATACTCAAGTACAGGAAGGAAACAGAAAAGCTATGAGCAAGACAACCCACTGTGAAAACCAATTGGGGGTAAAGGTGACAGGACAGAAATGATATAGATGGTAAGGCCTGATATCAAGGGTGAAGGCACTCAGGGTACCTTGGGACAGATTTCATAAGGACAGCCAAGAACAACCTCATAGGGACCAGCATGAGAGCTGGGGTCTCAAAGCTGACCCACTCCATTTGGGGAATGTGTAGAGAGACTAGGAATTAGAGTGTGACCAGCACAAGGAGGTAGCAGATGGTATGGGTGGGACTAACACTCCAGGCCACCTTCCACAGCTGCCACTGAGACATGGCCAGCCAACTCAATATAAACCACCCTAGTTCTTGAGCACCCTGGGATGCCAGCTGTCCTGTCAGTACCACCCAGGCAAGGCCATACCTTGTGTTGGCAATTCGCTCTCTCCACTCTTCTGAGAGGAAATCGCCTCGTTCCAGCTGAGAAAGAAAACACATACACACTTACTACTTAGGGTCTCACTCAAGCTCTGTTGTCCTGGCCCTGCCTTACTGCCGTGAAGGAAACATGAAATGATCAAAGTTGCTGGAGTGGGAAGGATGCAGGAAACCAAGTCAATGGCTCTATGGGAAACAGGACTAGTGGGGGGTAATGAGCTGAGACCAGCCAAGACTCTGGGAACAGGGCCTGAGCACACGGCACAGAGCCAGCATCCATCCCAGGACAGGAAGGAGAAAGACAGCAGAAAGCATTGGAAAGTCTTCATGCTATGAACAAGTTTTCTTACAGAAGTTCTACTACAAAACCCCAGTGCTCTATGTTAGGGGTTGCTGGCAGACTTCTCCGAGTAACCTGTAGAAGCCTTGTCCAGGCCATCCCCTCTGTGCTGTGATCTGTTCCCTCAAGAAACCAGCATGTCTGGGAATGTGACTTAGTGACAGAGTGCTTGCCTAGCATGCATGAAGATCTGGGTTTGCTTCCTCAGTACCACATACACAGAAAAAGCTGGAAGTGGCGCTGTGGTTCAAGTGGTAGAATGCTAGCCTTGAGCTGAAGAAGCTCAGGGACAGTGCCCAGGCCCTGAGTTCAAGCCCCAGGACTGGCAAAAAAGAAAAAAGAAAAGAAAGCTCACTACCATGTGAGATTTGTTCATGTAGCTAGCAGGCACCACTGAGGCTGACCATCTTTACTCCATCACTACCCACAGTGAAAGCACAGATGGCAAGGCAGCCTCCATGTGGCAGGAGTGTACATTTGCTGAGGACCCTCACTCACCTGGCTGATGAGTCATCCCTCCGCCAGGTATTAGAGGTGACTAAAATCCATGTCTTTGACAGCCCAGAGCAACACAAGAGTTGCCCTGCAGGCCTGTGGCATGTACTCAGAAAGCACCTGCCAACTTGTCCCTTAGGATTTATGGGGATCTGACCTGTAGGCCCCACCCTCCCAGCCAGGTGTTCCAGGACCTAAACCATTGGTGTGAACTATGTGAAGTTTATGCTGAGACCCTTGCTTTCCTCCCAAATCTGGAATATTGGCATGTGACAAATAGAAGGGCCACATGACAGAACCATGTGACATCCTTTTCCACACCCTGTGCATGGTGTCTGTGCAAGCTCCTGGTGACAATGCTCCAACATTTGCTTAGAGTTAGTTCATTGCTAGACTTCTGCATGATTCCTAGGGAGAGGATTTAGAGGTTTTACCTGTCCCAAGTTTCTTCACCCACATCATATACCTTTTCCCAAGGCAGTTTCTGCTGTGTTCTTTTGTGGTAAACCACGAGGAGAATGGTCACAAACTAGGTTATGAGGTCCTCACATAGGAGGTGGTCTTGGAGCCCTAACATGGGTGATGTTGGCCTCTCTGATGTGACTTCTCTCTTTTGAAGCTCATTGTGCAGAGTCAACTTCAGCCCTCCGACCACATCACTACAAAGCATAGCATGCCACGTGAGCACCACCAGAATTAGCCTTCTTGCACTCATGCAAATCCCTGGCTTGAGCCTGCATAGCAAATTGTGGCTACGTAAGAAGAGTTCCTCCCCCGTGTGGCAGGCTGTGACTGTATAAAGCTGGTTCTCTCCTGGCATTTATAGACCATGACTAAGAGGATGGTTCCAATCACTGAACACCAAGCCAGGGGCTATCTGCCAGTGACCTGGCTGAGCTAAATCTGTCTAGGGCCAAATAAGTACTCTGGAATCACAACAGTTAGAAAAACTTGCCTAGCCATTGAGCTTCAAGGTAGGGACTCAGGACTGGCAGAAAAAAAACAGAAAGGGAAAGTGAGGGGCAAGAACACCTCGCGGGACAGCATTCCATACAGCCTTAAGACTACTACACACCTGCCCCTCATAGAGACCACCAACAAACAGCAGGATTAAAGCTCCCATCCCTGCAGATAAGGCCTGCATGAAGCACTTCCTCCAGTGAGGAGACTGAGGTAGGCTCCACTTGAACCCAGAAAGAGCCAAAACATTGTCACTATGGGTGAGAGACCTACAGGACGCCATAACCACACACATATTCTGTGGCTTGGTTATTCCTGCCAAAATGTCAAGCAGCAGATAAATAAGCATAGCCACAACTCTAAAGAAGAACTATCTTTCAACTTCACTGGAAACGAAGGAAAGCCAGCATAGACTCAACAGAGGGCATGAAGGCTGAAAGGTGCCAGGGCCTGCAGATGCAGCCCAGCTACCTGTCCTGGTAAAGAAGCCTTAACAGATTCTCTAGGAGCTGCAGACTCATGCTACCCTGTCACAGGCTGCTGTCACAATCCTGATGTACTTGCCCTAGTCTGATACGTAGGAAGGTAACCCTGTAAGTACTTTAGCACCATGACCACCCACAGTGTCAATGGGTCTGGCACACTTGGGTGTATTACACAAGCCAAGCATAATCCCATCAAGAAGTGCCAACAGCACAGAAGAAAGACTGACCTAATTTCTGCCCCAAATCTGGTTCCAGAGCCCTGGAGAATTGGCAGGGACTGGTAGACAGTATAAGGGAAAGGGCAGAAAAAGACAGGAGTTCTGACTGGGAGGGATTGGGGGTGAAGGGAGCGCAACCCCAGGAGCCTGAGAACTGAACTCAGATGTGACCACAAGAGGGAGCAGTCTAACAGGAAAATCTCTGGCAGCAGTTTACATCAAACCTCAAAAGCAGGAGGAGGGGCATCCCTAAATGCAGCTCTGAGCCTGGAAAAGTACTCTGGGCTATTTTTAAACTGGCTTTTCTCCTCTGTGTTTCTCCAATAATTGAAGACAGGACACACAGTTTGCCAACCAGAGTACCACATCAAAGCCACAAAGCTGCTCAGAGGCATGTTCCAATATCAGGACCCAAGTTCCTGCCAAAACAGGGGGCTAACCCAGCCAGGCAGACTGTGCCCTCCTGGAGAAGGCTGGCTGTCATATAAGCTACTGTGGGATAAGAGAGTAGGTGCTGCAAAGTCAGACAGTGAAGACTCACATTTGTAAATCCTAGCCAATGAGGAGGCTGAGATGTGAGCAATATAGTTCAAAATCAGAAAGATGAAAAAAAAAAAAAAAGCCCATGAGACTCTTATCTTCAATTAACCAGCAAAAAGTCAGAAGTGCCAGGCACTAGTGGCTCACATCTGTAATCCTAGCTACTCAGGAGGCTACTGAGAATTGAAAGCCAGGCTAGGCAGGGAAGTCCACAAGATTCTTATATCCAATTAAGAACAGCAGCAACAACAAAAAGTAGAACTGTGGCTTAAGTGGCAGGGTGCTAGCCTTGAGCAAGAGCTCAGGGACAATGACCAGGTGCTGAGTTCAAGCCCAAGACCAGTACACACAAAAAAGTGGAAATAAGGCTCAAATCGTAAAATGGTAGTGACAGACATGAGCAAAAAAGCTGAAGGCCTTAAGTTCAAGCCCTTGAGTCATACACACACACACACACACACACACACACACACACAAAATGTAGATTGTAGAGACAGAGGCCAGTTCAGACATCCACTGTTGCCCAGTGATATCTGACTGTCATCAAGATCTTGAGAAAATTCTTTTTTTTTTTTTTTGATGGCTCATACACATGGTTAAATGTTATCACCAGTATACTTCCTGGAAGAATCCCTCTCAATCCCAAGTTGCCTCTTTGGCTTTTTCCTGGAAAATTGAGCTTTGCCAACTCCTCTGTCTAGATAAGAAGGCATGGGGAGTGGGGCGCTGGTGGCTCACACCTATAATCCTAGCTACATAGGAGGCTGAGATCTGAGGATCGAGGTTCAAAGCCAGCCCAGGCAGGAAAGTCCAGGAGACTTTTTTTTTTTTGGTGCATGAGGCTTGAACTCTGGGCTTCGGCGCTGTCCCTCAGCTCTTCAGCTCAAGTAAAGTACCTACCACTTAAGCCACAGAGCTACTTCCAGTTTTCTGGTGGTTAATTGGAGATAAGAGTCTCCGGGAAGCCGGGCGCAGTGGCTCATGCCAGTAATCCTAGCTACTCAGAAGGCTGAGATCTGATGATCGAGGTTCAAAGCCAGCCCGGGCAGGAAAGTCCGTGAGACTCCCGGTGCCTTCTTTTCTAGACAGAGGAGTTGGCAAAGCTCAGTTTCCCAGGAAGAAGTCAGAGGCCACTTGGGAATGAGAAGGATTCTTCAGGGAAGTGTACTGGTGATAACATCTAACCATGTGTACGAACCGTCAACTTCGATAACCTTGACATCTTTTAGGGAATCATCATTTTACAAGGGAATCAAGAACATGGACTGACCTAGAAACTTTTCCTTGGTAGGAAGAAGGGTCAGAACAGAAGCCAAATAGGCTTCTAGCCTCATCGGGCCTGAGGACAAACATGAGCCTCAGACATGGGATAGACAGGAGAGTCTGTCTAGTCCTCCTTCTCACTGAGGGACAGGATTCTATAGGAAGCTTTAACAAGAGGTAGGAGGGCTGGACCCTCCATCCCAGGCATAAGAGAAACAAGGCAGAAACAGAGAAAATACTTTCTTGGGCAGGGAAACTGGCTCAGTGGTAGAGTGCTTGCCTCACATGCACGAAGCCCTGGGTTCGATTCCTCAGCACCACATAAACAGAAAAAGCCAGAAGTGGTGCTATGGCTTAAGTGGTAGAGTGCTAGCCTTGTGCTGAAGAGCTCAGGGATAATGCCCAAGCCCAGACTTCAAGCCCCATGACTGGGTGGGCG